AAAAAAAAAAACTGTGACAATTTATCACATAAAACACTAAGGATTTGGTGCAAAATCTAGATATTTTAGTGACAGTATGTGATAACATTTAAGAAGGTCATGATTTAAGAACCTGGTGAAAAAAACAAAAACAAAAACTAATCAACTAAAACGTTGATGTCCCCTCTGGACAAGATGATTCTGAAAGCCAAAGCAAGACAAAACAAGATTACCCTCAGTTTTTAGAATCACTGAATCTTAGTGAGACTTTCAATATTTAAAGTAAGCCCTTATGTAAACTGGAAATTCCTTCCTATCTTACAGCAGCACTGCTGAAACAGAGCTGTTCTTGTGACCTAGATAGAATTAAACCAAAAAATATGCGCTGCATTTAGAAGAGAATAGAATAGCTTTTTATTGTCACTGTTACAAGAACAATGAAAGGCAGTTTGGCATTACTCTGTGTGTGTGAAGTACACAACAGCGTAAGTATTTACACAATAACAGACAAATTTACATTTACACAAGAAAGATATGTACAAGTTATACATGCACCTGCAAAAATGCGGATACACCCATACAAACATACACACACATACATACATATGTATATATACATATATGCATGCGTACATACAAACACACACATATTTCCACATAAATACACATACATGCCATCTGAGGAGCAGGTGCATTGAGAGGTGCGATCAATGATATTGCACATTGAGTGTGTGTGTGTGTGTGTGGGGGGGGGGTTGGGGTTGCTATACTAAATAAGGTTATAATAAAGAGGTAGGGGTGTTGGTTGCATTGAAGTATAAATACAAATATGGTTTATAAATAAGGTGTAATGTCCATGAGTGTTGGCAGTGCAGTTATCCTCCAATCAGGGTGGAGGTAGGGCATGTTTGACAGCCTGTGGGTAAAAACTTCTGTTTAGTCTGTTTGTCTTCGACCTGATGGACCTGTAGCATTTACCAGAGGGAAGGGGGGGAAAAAGTGAGTGTCCAGGGTGCGAGGGGTC